TTTTTTTTGAAACAGAGTCTCACTTTGTCGCCCAGACCGAAGTGCAGTGGCATAATCTCAGCTCACTGCAACCTCCGTCTCCCAGGTTCAAGCAATTCTCCTGCCTTAGCCTCCAAGTAGCTGGGATTACAGGCACGTGCTACCATACCTGGCTAATTTTTGTACTTTTAGTAGAGACAGAGTTTTACCCTGTTGACCAGGCTGGACTCAAACTCTGACCTCAGCTGATCCACCCACCTCAGCCTCCCAAAGTCCTGGGATTATTGGTGTAAGCCGCCACACCCAGCCCCTTGTCCAGCCTTTAAAGACTGTATGATTTTCTTTTTGTGGGAATCAGAATTTTCCAGGGCACCATGAGGAACAGTTATATAAATGAAGCACCCCCAGATCCATACAGCCTCCTTGGATTTTGATCCAACACAGAAAAATTATCTTTTATTTATTTATTTAGAGACAGGGTCTTGCTCTGTCACCCAGGCAGGGGCACAGTCATAACTCACTGCAGCCCTAACTCCTGAGCTCAGGTGATCCTCTTGCCTCAGCAAGCAGCTAGGACTACAGGCACGTTCCACCACCATGCCCAGCTAATTTTTTTTTTAGTTTTGTAGAGGTGAGGTCTCACTATGTTGCCCAGACTGGTCTCTTACTCCTGGGCTCAAGCCATCGTCCTGCCTCAGAGAGTCATCTTTGCATCAAATGTGCAATTAATTTGGGGGTAGGCTTTGTGCCACCATGGTCTCACTGGGTCCTCCCCACACCACCATGGGATAGGGCTGTCTCTCTCCCCATCTTTGAGATGACAAAACAGGTCTGAAAATCGAGGCAACTCCATCTTCTCCCACCACTTCTGAAGCCCTAGCACAGGGCTGGGCATCCAGCCAGCCCTCAGGAGGTTTGGTTGGACTGGGATGACTGAACTAAGTCATGCTTCTAAGTCCTAAAGCCCCAGGGACATCCCATTCATTCGGTCTGGAAATACACTTTCTGTACACCTACTATGTGCTCGGTACTGTTTTAGGCCTTAGGGATAAAGCCGTGAA